GGGAGTTATTCCTAATGGTTTTCCAATTCTATGTCCACATGCGTCCCATGTGAGTAACGGGAGGTAAATGTTAAACAAAAGCAGAGAGGCTATAGCTGAAAGCAACTTATGGAAACACAGTTTTGAACTGAAATCCATTTTTGTTCAGGTGAACAAGGTTATTTGTGTTCTTGAAATAAAATGATACCGCCGGCTATAAAGACGCTGCAGCTTGATGCTGTTTGCATTACGAAGCCCAAAAATAGATGGAGTAGCTGTGACTGCCAGAGGGAGCAACCCAGGCACGTATCAAACAGTGTAAAAGAGCAGGTTACTCATCAAGGAGCCGTGGCTCCACGCCACGATACTTGGTCTGAGGTAGGGCATTAAAGGATCCTCACTGCTGGAACCCAAAGGAGAAACAGGCACCCAGCAGAGTTCAAATACCAACAGCCTCATCTCAGCAGCAGCAAGAAATACAGTCAGACATCTAGAAATAAGACTACCAACAGATTCCAAGAACATAATGCAATGTTTTGGGGAAAATTCCAGTGATGTTTTAGCTTTAAGGAGGAAAAATCAGCACATGAAGCTGCAAATCCCACAGCATCGAATCCATCATGAGGGAAAAGTGCAAATCTTCACACTGGAAGACTAAACAAGACATGCAGAAAGCTGAACTACAGTCACAGGTGGTCATTTGGTAGCGAGCCAATTAAAGCTGCCACTGACGCTGGAAGTGGAGATGTTTGATGTTCTCCACGAGGCTGCAGCTGTTCATATAACCAGCAGCGTTACCACATTTGACAGATTTCAGCAGGATCAGGATCAGTTTGATCCCAAACGAGACCACAGCTTCCAACAGTTCCATTCATGCCCCTAAACCAGGGGTGTCCAACTCCAGAGATCGAGGGCCGGTGTCCTGCAGGTGTTAGATCTCACCCTGGGTCAGCACGCCTGAATCAAATGATTAGTTCATTACCAGGCATCTGGAAAACTTCAAGACATTTGAATCAGCTGTGTTGGATCAAGGACACCGACCCTCGAGGCCTGGACTTCCCCCCCTGCTGTAAGCTTTCTGCGTGGCTCAATCAAAGACCATTAACAGGAACTTAAAACGAGATAACCATCCGCTCACTCACCGTACTCGGTGTCATAAAACACGATGAACTTCTGCCAGCGCAGCTCCTCCACCAGCGTCAGCATGACGTCATTGAGGCGTACGGGCGGCCGGGCGGCCAGCGTGTAGCGCTGCCCGCCGGGGCTTGGGTTGAACTGGCAGGCAGTGCGAGGAGATCCTTCGCTGTTCCTCTGGATGTACAGGTGTGGGATGTGCATGGCGTCCGTCAGGGACTGCAGGGCGCTCGCTGAGGCGCAGCCAGTAGAGGTCACCAACGCCAGGATGCCCTGGTTCATCAGCTCACAGGCTGGAAGGGGGAAAGAAAAATGGAAAAGTGAGCTTTGGTAGACAAATTATAAATTATGAACTTATATAATTATAAACTGCAACATAACCAGAAACATTATTTGAAAATCTGGAGCAAGCACAAAGGCTGCAAAGAGTCCTGCAGAAGCCCAGCTCTAATTTGAAAAAATGCCTCGACCTCTTGTTGCTTTCCGCTCTGAAAATTAGGCCACATAAATCTAGAAGAAAGCCTGACAGGTAGCACTAATGTTTACCCTGCCATGACCTACTTTGAACTCTTAAACCTGCTTTCTGCTTTTCAGGCAGGAGAGTCGATACGGATGATTAAACAGGCCACATATCCACTCTGCCAAGGCTCAGTTAAAGGTTAAAATTTGGCCGGCCTCACTGGATTGACTGGCAGATTCATCGGAGTCATGTAAGGACCACCCGCTCAGCTGTCCAACCATCAACCAACTGCCAATAAACCCGAGCGAATACTGCACACACTACAATATCCTGCACATCAGAATACACTAAATGACACATTGAGAAGAAAATAAGCGAGCCAATCAGATCAGCACCTAGGGATTCAGAGCCAACCCCCTCGCCTCGTCCTCCCAACCTCCAAGTACGAGCAGAAGCACTGCAGACCTCACCATCCACCAATAGGGAACAACAACACAACAACGCAAATACATTCTGACAAACCAGGACCCACACAGCCTTTAGCATACCTATAACTATTTACACACAGATGCTGCATGTGTCCTGATCTTTATCTCACTCTGACGTCCATCCTATTAAATAATCAGGCCACAGATGGATATCAGACAGTTCTAAGGTGTTTTTGTTTTGATGAATTCATTTATGTTTATAAACTTTTAGGAAAAATGTGTTTTTTGAGTTCTTTTAACCCTTTAAGACCTGCCATAGAACCAAGTCCGCCAGAGCTTATATTATATTTTTACATG